TGAGGAAAATCAATTGGCTGATGCTCTGGCTACATTGTCTTCGATGTTCAAGATTAGTCAAGGAAAAGAGGTTCCATTGATAAGAATACAGAATCGAGGTCAACCAGCATATTGTCAAGCAATAGAGGGAGAACCAGATGGAAAACCATGGTTCTATGACATCAAGCGCTATCTAAAAGACAGAGAGTACCCTCCCGGAGCTTCAAAAAATGGCAAGAAAACTTTAAGGAGATTAGCAATGAGTTTCTTCTTAAATGGAGAAGTACTTTATAAAAGAAATCATGACATGGTATTGCTTAGATGTGTTGATGCTAAAGAAGCTATGGAAATCATGGAAGAGATCCATGAAGGTCCATTTGGAACACATGCAAGTGGACATGTAATGGCAAGAAAGATCCTAAGATCTGGTTATTATTGGTTGACCATAGAGGCTGATTACTGTATCCATGTGAGGAAGTGTCACAAGTGCCAAATTTATGCATGATCCTGACAAAGTGCGAGCAATTTTAGAAATGCTAGCTCCTAGTACAGAAAAAGAAGTCCGTAGTTTCTTGGGTAGGTTGAACTACATTGCCAGGTTCATATCTCAATTAACTGCCACCTGCAAGACCCTCTAGTTTTGGTACCTCCCATTTCAGGGAGACCTCTCATTCTGAATATCTTGGTACTTGATGAATCTATGGGTTGTGCACTGGGGCAACATGATGCATATAGAAGAAAAGAACAAGCAATCTATTACTTGAGCAAAAAGTTTACAAATTGTGAAAGAAGGTACTCTTTGCTAGAGCGAACCTGTTGTGTTTTGGCTTAGGCTACTAGGCGTTTGAGACAATACATGTTAAGTCACACTACATGGTTAGTGTCTAAGATGGATCCGATCAAGTATATATTTGAAAAGCCTGCTTTGACTGGTCGAATTGCTCGCTGAAAAATATTGTTGTTAGAGTATGATATTGTATATGTAACCCAAAAGGTTGTTAAAGGCAGTGCATTGGCTGAGTATTTCGCTCATCAACCCATACAAGATTATCAATCAATGCAATATGATTTTCCAGATGAAGATATCATGGCTTTATTTGAGGATGGAGAGTCCATAAATGGAAAGAAGTGGACGTTGTTATTTAATGGAGCTTCTAATGCACTAGGGCATGAAATTGGGGCAGTGATGATTACTCCAGAGAACCGATTAATCCTTTTCACTGCAAGGTTGGGTTTTGATTGCACTAACAATGTGGCAGAGTATGAAGCATGTGCAATGGGGGTTCTAGTAGCTTTGGAGTTTAAGGATAGAGTGTTAGAGGTTTATGGAGACTCAGCATTGGTTGTTCATCAACTCAGAGATGAATGGGAAACTCAGGATTCTAAATTAATTCTATACCACTCATACATCAAAATTTTGATGGAACAGTTTGAGGAAATAACTTTCCATCACATCCCTCGTGAGGAAAATCAATTGGCTGATGCTCTGGCTACATTGTCTTCGATGTTCAAGATTAGTCAAGGAAAAGAGGTTCCATTGATAAGAATACAGAATCGAGGTCAACCAGCATATTGTCAAGCAATAGAGGGAGAACCAGATGGAAAACCATGGTTCTATGACATCAAGCGCTATCTAAAAGACAGAGAGTACCCTCCCGGAGCTTCAAAAAATGGCAAGAAAACTTTAAGGAGATTAGCAATGAGTTTCTTCTTAAATGGAGAAGTACTTTATAAAAGAAATCATGACATGGTATTGCTTAGATGTGTTGATGCTAAAGAAGCTATGGAAATCATGGAAGAGATCCATGAAGGTCCATTTGGAACACATGCAAGTGGACATGTAATGGCAAGAAAGATCCTAAGATCTGGTTATTATTGGTTGACCATAGAGGCTGATTACTGTATCCATGTGAGGAAGTGTCACAAGTGCCAAATTTATGCATATAATATTCATGTTCCCCCAACATCTTTGAATGTATTGGCTGCTCCATGGCCTTTTTCAATGTGGGGAATAGACATGGTTGTTCTAATAGAACCAAAAGCATCTAATGGGCATCGATTCATTCTTGTTGCTATCGACTACTTCACTAAATGGGTTGAAGCAGCTTCTTATGCTAGTGTGACCAGAAATGTGGTGGTCAAATTCATTAAAAGAAATTTAATTTGTAGATATGGGTTGCCAAGTCGTATCATTACTGACAATGGGACCAATCTGAACAACAAGATGATGAAAGAGTTATGTGAAGGTTTCAAGATTCAACATCACAATTCTTCACCATATCACCCTAAGATGAATGGGGCAATAAAAGCAGCAAACAAGAATATTAAAAAGATTATTCAAAAAATGGTGGTCACCTACGAGGATTGGCACGAAATGCTTTTTTTTGCCCTACATGGATATCAAACTTTTGTTCGCACCTCTACTGGGGCAACTCCATATTCTATGGTTTATGGTATGGAAGCAGTGCTTCCCATTGAGGTTGAGATACCCTTTCTAAGAGTATTGGCTGAAACCAAACTTGAGGAAGCGGAATGGGTTCAGGCTCACTATGATCAATTGAACCTCATTGAAGAGAAAAGATTGAATGCCTTATGTCATGGTCAATTATATCAAAAAAGGATCAAGAGGGCTTTCGACAAAAAGGTTCATCCGCGAGATTTTCAAGAAGGAGATTTAGTATTAAAAAAGATATTGCCACCTCAAAGAGATCATAGAGGGAAATGGACCCCGAATTATGAAGGGCCTTATGTGGTAAAAAAGGTTTTCTCAGGAGGGGCTTTGATTCTCACGAATATGGATGGGGAAGATCTATTGAACCCAATAAACTCTGATGCAGTCAAGAAATATTATGTATAAAGGAGAACACAAAATAATAACAAAAAGAAAAAGCTCGCTAGGCTGAAAACCTGAAAAGGCAGCTTAGGAAAAATTTAGAGCGACTTGGTAGGTTGAAAACTCGAAAAGAGCGGCCTAGGAAAAAGTTAAGGTCTAAAAAGAAAAATGAAAACAAATAATAACAAAAAGAAAAGCTCGCTAGGCTGAAAACTTGAAAAGCCAGCTTAGGTAAAACTTAGAGCGACTTGGTAGGCTGAAAACTCGAAAAGAGCGGCCTAGACAAAAAGTTAAGGTCTAAAAAGAAAATAAAAACAAATGAAAGAAAAAGAAAGGATCATTGGGCTGAAAACTTGAAAGGGCAATTTAGGCAAATGTTAGAGCAACTTTTCTATAGGAAGGTGAAGAAGGAGGAAATAGATATTACAACCAAAGTACGAAGTTGGGGCAAATTGGAAGATCAAGGCAATGTTCAAAATGCTCAGCAAGCACTTGATACCTTTAGAAGCCAATTAATAGGGTTCTCAAAGTTGTTGATATGGGGAATTAGTGTTGCTTCCCTAAAAATATGATTTGTTATTCTCCCCTTGTTTTGGTTATCTCTACTCTCATGTACTTGTACTTTCTTCCTTGAAGCAATAAAAGTCCATATTCCCCACATTCGTCATTTTTGTGTGTTTACTTCATTATTATATGCTAAAAGTGCAACATGTGATGCAAGAAAAACAAACAAATAAAATTAAAAATAAATTAGAGTATTTCAATTACGATGTTTGATTCTGAGAGTCATAAAGAAATGAAAGATCTTTAGCTAACTCTACTGAAGAAGATTATGGATGTTGAAAGCTTTGAATTGAATTGTACTCTTCTAATCAAGCAAGATAGCTTATTTGGCGACGCCATAATTTGAAAAGAGGTCGACTTGAACACTCACACTCGTAAGGGGTCAAAGGTCGGAAAAACGATGCAAAAGAAGGATGAAAAGCCAAAACTCATTTTATTTTATTATTATTATTTATTTTCACTAAGATCATTTCGCATAGCATATCGTGCATACATTTCATTAATCATGAACCAATCGAGCATTAAGTTTAAATTTTCTTATACTTACTTGACTACTATCTCACTCGGTTTAATGTTTCGAGCCTCATGCTCACCCTTTTTATGCACCAAGCCCCCGCGCTCACTCTTTTAATGTTTCAAGTCCCCATGCTCATTCTTTTAATGTTTTGAGCTTTCACACTCACTTAGTCAATGCTTTGAGCCTCTAAGCTCACGCTTTTAATGTTTTGAGTCTCTATAGTCACTCTATTAATGTTTCAAGCCTTTACACTCACTCTACTAATGTTTCAGACCTTGCACTCTTAACTCTCAATATTTTGGATCCCCGAGTCCATTGTTTTCATATTTTGAGTTCCCATGCGCATAGTTCTCGATATTTTGGATCTCCGAGTCCATTATTTTTATACTTTGAGTCTTCGTGCTCTTAATTCTCAATATTTTGGATCCCTGAGTCCACTATTTTCATATTTGAAGTCCCTGTGCTCTTCATTCTCAATATTTTGGATCTCCGAGTCCACTATTTTTCATATTTTGAGTTCCAATGCTCTTAATTTTTAATATTTTAAATCCCCGAGTCAACTATTTTTATACTTTGAGTCTCCGTGCTCTTAATTCTCAATATTTTGGATCCTTGAGTCCATTATTTCATATTTAAAGTCCCCGTGCTCTTAATTCTCAATATTTTGGATCCTTGAGTCCACTGTTTTCATATTTGAAGTCCATGTGCTCTTAATTCTCAATATTTTGGATCTTTGAGTTCACTATTTTTCATATTTTAAGTTCCCATGCTCTTAGCTTTTAATATTTTGGGTCCCCAAGTCCACTATTTTCATATTTGAGTCATCATGCTTTTTGCTTCCAATATTTTATATCCCAAAGTCCACTATTCTTTTTCTTTTGATATTTTAGGATCCCTATGGTTATTACTTTAAGATTCTTATACTCTCCAATGTATGTTAAATCCTCATGACTATCTTTCCTCTAAGTGGCGAATACACGTAACTTTTGTCCTAGACAAAATTGGAGTTTAAGTCTTTACTTATCTTTTACTACAATTATATGAAAAATACTATTATTCATATTCTTTAGTAAAATTTAAGTAAAGAGGGGCAACTGTAAACACCAATTTTTATGCCACTAATTTTTCTACTAATTTATTTCCCAAAATTTTCAAATTAATGATTCAAGAACAAATAATTTACAAACTAGATTTAAACTCAAAAACTACACAGAATAAGCATAAATAATAAATAAATAAATAATAAAAGAAAAACAGAAAAAGACAAGAAAATAACAAAATAATCTTTTCCTCTGCACTCAAAATCTGTGTCATCCTACACTTTTCTGTACGGTTATTTCTCCTCCAACAAGCTTGCTGAGCTCCTCTCCCCTAGCCACCAACATGTCCCCAAGAGCATGTTTCTTCCATATATGCTTCCAAAAGCATGAGCTTGGACCAACTGCCAAAGAACAATTAAAAACAATAGTGAGTCTATATATAATAGAACAGAACATGAACAAAAGGGGGCAGAGAAAATTTTCAAAACAAAGAGAACCAAGGATCAAGAGAGAGAGCTCAAGCAAGAAGCAAGTAGAACAAGGAAGCAGAATAAGAAGCAACGTGCAATCAAATTTGGGGTATCAGTATTTTCTCTAATCTTTCTCTATATAGGGTCATTTTTTTTCTCTTTTTTTTTTGAAAATAATACGTATGCAACTCAATATTTAATCTTGCTGTGAATCAATCCCTTCCCCTTTGAACCAACTGAAACCCTCAGTCAAGGGTTTTCCACCCAGCAACTAAAAATCCAGCCGCAATGAAAAAATAAAAACAATAAAAAAAGTTGTGAGTGAAATATACTTGGAAACGCGACTAGACGGTGGTTCCTGTGAACACCGTCGTGCACCGCCGCTGGAGACAATTTTCGGTGGCGGCGATTGCATTCCTTTATCTTCTTCCTCTCACACTTGTTGCACCTTTACGAGGAGTCACCACACAGACGAACCGTCATAACACCACCACGCACCACCGTCGGAAACGACTTCCGGTGGCGGCCATAACCTTCTGCCGTCCTCTGTTCCTCTCTTTAGCCGTCTTCTCCTTCCCTTCGCATGACCGCCAACCACCTTAGCTGCGACCGCGCCATCGATGTCTGTGGAGGGAGGCTGAGCGCAAAACCCTAGTAGAGCCTCTCCCACTCCCCTCACCCTTTTCTATTTTTAGGGTTATAGTGAAATGGCCAAGTGCCATCTGATTTCCTTTTTTTTTCTTTCCATTTTGGGCCAGCATATGGGTTAAGCCCATTTAACATACAATTAACTAACTATTTTATTTTATTTCTTTTAAAAAAGAGTAATCAGATAATATATTTTACTAAAATAATATATTTTATAATTATAATTATAATAATATTATATATATGTATATAACAAGTAGTATACGCAATTAATATATATAATAGATTCTCACGTAATTTTATATTAGATTATTACGTAACCTTAATAATAATAATAATAATAATAATTACTATAATAATAATGATAACAATACTTTTTATCAATATTAATATTATTAATATTTATCTTCTTAAAAAAAATTATTTTTATGTTGCATTCCCTTAATATTAGATGATGGTATTTGTTTCTTGTTTTAACAAAATTAGCTTAATTGATCTTATTTGGTTAAGTTATTTCTTTATACAAATGTGTTAGATATTTACATAATTTTTTAATCCATTTAAACAACAACAATAATAATAATAATTACTGTCATATTCTCTTATCAATATTAGTATTAATTATATCTATTTAAAGGGAGATTATTTGAATGTGACATTCTTTTAATCCTAAAACATAAGTAGGGGTGGGCAAAAAAAACTAAACTAAACTGGTGGTGAACTGTACTATAAAAAATTGAACTATTTGTAAAAAAAACTGAACTGAACTGTTTAAAAAAAACTGAACTGAACTGAACTGTCGTAAAGTTGAACTGTACTGAACTATAAAAACTGAACTGAATTATAAAAATTGAACTATTTTTATAAAAAAATAAAAATTAAATGTGTTTAACATGTTATGTCTTAATAGATTAACTCGATAGTTTAATAACCAAAATTTTAGAAAAAAAGTGATTTGAAAAAAAATTGTATCAATTTTGTTGAACTTAACGGATCAATTGAGCTATGTTGAACTACTTATTTTTAGGCTTAAAATTCACTGAGTTTGTTTGACTTAATTTTATATTTTTTTCCTTTGAAAAATTTAAATAAAATGGAAAATAAAGTAAAGTTGACAAATGTGTCCTATTTTGATAGATAAATGAGTCAAAATTGTTCAATTCAAAATATCATAACAGTTTAGTGCAGTTTAAATTGCAGTTCAGTTCAAGTTTTTATAGTATAGTTCAGTTCAATTCAATGACACAAAAAAATAGTTCAGTTCAGTTCGTCTGAACTAATATTTAGTTTAGTTCAGTTCATATGAACTACTTTTAAGTTCAGTATAGTTTTTATAAGTTCAGTTCAGTTCGTTTTGTCCACCCCTAAACATAAGGATGTAAGTTGTGACAACTTATTATCTTAAAAAAAATTTATTCAAAAATATATAATTAAATATCAAAATATTACTACAATATTCAACATAAATATTCAAAATTATTATATAAAAGATTTTATTGGAGGAATGGTTAATTAGATGTGACATCTTTTTAACCTTTGAATTTAAAATACAAGTTGTGACAACTTGATATCTTTAAATTTTTTCTCCAAAAAAAAAATGTCCAACCGAAAAATCTTTTAAAATAATAATATCTATAACAATAATTATAATTAAACTTTTATTGAATTGACTTTGGTGTACACCTTAATCAATTTTATGTTTTTTAGGCAGTTCAAGAATCTTATATTTAACAAAAATAAAATTTAATTAAAAAATATCAACACACAAATATTTTCTACCAAAGAACTACATAACTCTAATTCTTCATTACACATGGAGATACGTAGGAGCAAGAAATAAATCTTGTCGAGCCAAAAAATTAAAAATATATATTATCTTTCTTTTTATATAACAATAATAATTTTAACCTTTTTTTAATGCATTAGTTAAATTAGATAAATAAAATATATTTAATCATTTTAGTGAGATAAATATTTTATAAATTATAAATAATTTTTTTAATTAATTAAAGGTAATCGTCTTAGGACAAACGTTGTAAGGTACTAATACCTTCCTCACACGTAACCAACTCTCAAACTCAAAAATTTAATTTTCGTAGACTATTTTCTTTTATGATTTTTCAATATTTTTCGTAAAAAATAACATTGGTAGCGACTCCCTATCATCGAGATATAGAATTAGAAAACAAAAGAAACAATTTCCACATATTGATTTCTTTAATTTATACATCATGTGTGACTTTCCTTCAACTTAATTGATCATTACAAATTTAAGAGCTAAATTAATTGATAAATTACAAATTTAGGGCGTTTTATTTATTTGCAAAACCAATATTAAAATCTTAGAATTATTTTATCATTTTATTATTTTTAAATACTAATTTTATTAATCGCCCGCCGGAGACGATTTCTGGTGGCAGCGATTGCACTCCTTTATCTTTTTCCTCTCACCCTTGTTGCGCCTTTACGAGGAGTCACCACACAGACAAACTGTCATAACACCACTACGCACCACCGTCAGAAACGACTTCCGGTGGCGGCCATAACCTTTTGTCGTCCTCTGTTCCTCTCTTTAGCCGTCTTCTGCTTCCCTTCGCATGACCACCAACCACCTTAGCTGCGACGACGCCACGGCAGCGTCCGCCGCGCCGTCGACGTCTGTGGAGGGAGGCTAAGCGCAAAACCCTAGCAAAGCCTCCCCCACTCCCCTCACCCTTTTCTATTTATAGGGTTCTAGTGAAATGGCCAAGTGCCATCTGATTCCTTTTTTTTTTGCTTTCCATTTTGGGCCAGCATATTGGTTAAGCCCATTAATTCAACAAACAATTAATTAAGGCACGTGATAAACACACCTCCACTCACCTATGAACACACCCTCTTTTTAAAAAAATATATATAAAATATATAAATTATCCTTAAAAAAAATAAAATTTCTAAATTTATATTCCCTTCTCTTCTTGGTACCCCCGTTTTCCGCACCTCCTTTCCCCGCATCCCACACCCTCCCTTTCTCGCACCCCACACCCTTCTTCTACCTAAACCTCTTTCCTCCAGCACCCACAGGCTCGTCCTTCTTCTC